GGGAGGGGTGGGGGCTGGGCAGGGGAAGACACTGTCTTGGAGTCCCAGCAGAAGACAGTGGGACAAACAGCATGTCGAAGACGCTGGGTGTGCTCTAGCAGGTGAATTCCACAGACCCCGGAGGTGTGGCGCCAGCAGACATGGACCACGGCACGGAAAGGCCAACTCTGTATTTCCCTCTGCCCGCCCTGACCCCATCCCAGCCCCAGCCACCATCAGAAAAGGGCCTGACTTGGCAACATTTCAGCCCTTCTCGTCATCCCGCTGAGGCTCCTGAGATGGGAGAGAAGAGAGAAAGAAATTTAAAGTAACAAGGATGACAACTCCTTAAAAATTTAAATAAGGCTTACTAGGTGTCCGGCAGGCACTGTTCCATGGTGTTTTCCAAGTCTACTTTTCTTGCTAGTTTTCTTTTTTTTTAAATTTGGGGTCTCACTCTGTCAACCAACTGGAGTGCAGGGACACGGTCACAGCTTCCACCCAGGGTGGAATGCAGTGGCACGCTCAGAGCCACCATAGCCTCAATCAACTGGTCTCAGGTGATCCTTCCGCCTCACCCTTCCAAGTAGCTAGAACTAGAGGCGTGTGCCACCATGCCTGGCTAATTTTTGATTTATTGTAGCGATGAGGTCTTGCTAAGTTGCCCAGGCAGGTCTCGAACCCCTGGGCTCAGGCAATCCTCTCACTGCAGCCTCCCAAAATGCTGGGATTACAGGCATGAGCCTACTGCGCTCGGTTAAATACCACCTTCTCAATGAGGCCTTTCCTGCACACTCAGTTTAGTTACAAAAAGCCTCCCAAACTCCCCACTCCTCTTCCCTACTTGGTTTTTCTCCTAAACACGTATCACCTTCTAAAATGCCTTCTGTTCACCCATGTATCCCGTTCATTGTCTGTCTTGCACTAGAATGTCGACCTCTACTAGGGTAGGAGTTTGTATCTGTTTTGTTTACTGCTGTATCCTCAGGGTCTAGAACAGTGTCCAGCACATAGTAGATACTCAGCAAATACTTGTGCGTGTGGTTTTTTTTGTTTTTGTTTTTGAGTTGGAGTCTCAGTCTGTTGCCCAGGCTGTAGTGCAGTGGCACGCTCCCGGCCACCACAGCCTGGACCTATTGGGCTCTGGCGATGCTTCCGCCTCAGCCTTCCAAGTAGCTGGAACTACAGGCACACGCTACCACGCCCGGCTAATGTGTTTTTTTGTTTGGGTTTTTTTCTTTTTTGGTATTTATTTATTGAATCAGGGTCTCACTCCGTTGTCTAGGCTGGAGTACAGTGGCACAATCATGGCTCACCGCATCCTCAACCCCTTTCAGCTCAGGCTGTCCTTCCACTTCAGCCTCCCAAGTAGCTGTGACTACAGGCTCATGCCACCAAGTTCAGCTAATTTTTGATTTTTTGTAGAGATCAGGTCTTGCTATGTTGCCCAGGCTGGTCTCAAACTCCTGGGCTCAAGCAAGTCCTCCGACTTCCATCTCCCAAAGTGTGGGATTACAAGAATGAGCCACCTCGCCTGGCCTGTTTTTAATTTTTAGAGACAGGGTCTCACTCTGTTGTCTAAGATAGAGTGCAGTGGCACCATCATAGCTCACTACAGCCCAGTCTCACACTCCAAGTCTCAAGGAATCTCCTGATCTCATGGTCCTCCTGCCTCAGCCTCCCCAGTAGCTGGGACTACATGCTGGTTAACTTTTTTTTTTTTTTTTTT